GCCACGGTCCAATCCGATTAAGGACTGGACAGAAGCCATGCCCTTAAAAAAAACACAATTCAGCTTGCTTGTTTTCATTTTTCAGAAAACACTTTTCAGAAAATTCTACTTTCTTATTTTTCGTTTTTTTTGTTTTTACTGAATTTTTTTAATATTTTAAGCAATTTTTTTATTTTTTAGACACACCTTACATAAATACACTTAAAAAGTAAAAAAATTGTAAAAAAAATCTTTTAAAAATTCACTAAATACCAAAAATACAAAAAAAAAATACAAGAATTCAGTATATTTTTTGTGTTTTTATGTATTTATTAATTTTTTAAAATATTTTTTCACAAATTTTTTACTTTTTAGATATATCAAACTAAGGTGCATCTAAAAAAGTTAAAAAATGTTTAAAATTAAAAAAATATTCACAAAAAACAAAAGAATACGAAAACTAAAAAACTCAATTTTTAAAAAATTTAATCCAGAAAACTCAAATCAAACACAGTGATTAACGCTCTTGGTTGGGCGGAAAATATTCTCTAAAAAATATTTCTTGTATTTTTTGGTATTTAGTACAATAGAAAAATGAAAGTTTAACAAAAAATATTTTTCATAATCAACAGAAAATAAGTTTATATAGACAGAAAATATTTTTCACTTTTAAAAGAAGAAAAAAGTTTTATGGACTATTACCAATGTCACCACACTACCACCACCACGCCACCATCCCCACAGCCACTTTAACCATCACAGCCGCTATCACCGCCGCCACCACCATGCCACCATTTTCAACTTCACCTTCACGTTCGTTTCACTACACCCAATACAAAACATAGAAAAATGTTTTCTCCATAAAATGTTTTTCTGTAAAAAAAAAAAAAAAAAAGTTGTAGAAAATGTTTTTCACTCCAACAAATAGAGTGTAAGTCTCACAATGTTAACATAATTACGTTGATTTCCTTTTTAGTAAAGTTAAATGAATTGAAATTAATTTAGATGGTTTGAAAATGTGGAAATAAAAAAAAAATGATATATTTCCGTGAAAAAATATGACAATAATATTTTTCCACTTACATAACTAATAAATTATTAATGGGAAGAGAATAAAATATTATTTAAATTAAAATCTACAAAAATAAAAATATAATTATACCGACACTGTAAGATTTTTATATTTTTTTTTTCTAAATCACTATTGAAGTAAGTTTAATTTGACGGCAGAGGCATTAAAAACCTTTGAGAAAGGAGAAATTATTGAATGCTCCTTAAATAAGAATCTACTTTGTTTAACAAAATTATATGCATCAATTGCTACCCTAATTAGTGTATTAACAAATGAGATGGTACTATTTTATTGATTTTGAGTTTTTATAAGGGTATAGCTTCTGTCCAGTTTGGGATCGGACGGGACCGTGCTGTTGGGCTCGTGGGGCCCTACCACGGGTCCCGTTTTGATAATCTAAACCGTTCAATATATAAAAATCGTCGAGTACTATATGTCTGTAAAAAATCACGTTGATCGGATATCGATAGCTATGTGATCAAAATAGTTTTTTGTTAACCGTTAATTTGTTCACCGTCTAATTTTTTTAATATGAAACTGATTTGATCATATAGCTATCGATATCCGATCAACGTGATTTTTTACAGGCATATAGTACTCGACAAGTTCTACACATTGACGGTTCAGATTATCAAAACGGACCCTGTGGTGGCCCCCACGGGCCCAACAGCATAGTCCAGTCCGGGAGCCATATCCTTTTTATAATTTGTATAAGGGAGAGGCATCTCTCTAGTCCACACAATGGACTAGAAGGTGCTATTGGATCCGTGAGACCCACTATGGGTCTCATCTAAATGATCCGATCAGTGCAACGTGTAGAGCTCATCGAGCACTTTATATTTACAAAAATCACGTTGATCTAATATCGATAGCCCTTTGATTGAAATAGATTTTCGTCAATGGTAAATATGATTTTAAAAATAAATTATGAAAAAAAATGTGCTCTGATCAAGGGACTACCAATATATGATTAATGTGATTTTTACAAGCATAAAGTACTCGACGAGTTCTACATATTAAACAATTTGGATTATCGAAACAAGACCGGTGATGGGCCTTACGGGGTCAACAGCACGCTATAATCCATTGTATGGACTGGAGAGAAGCCTCTTCCTTTGTATAATGGATGAGATCCATAATTTTAAAATTACAATATTATAGCACATATTGATACATTAGTATACTAATTGGTGTATGTAACACCATTGTTTATTTATAGGTTGACACTTAATAGTTTGTTTCTTAAAATTTTAACACAAAAATAGTAAGTCTTATAATTTAAGCTAATAACTACTTATTTGAAATTGGTAGTGTTGGGTCAGGCCCAGTCTATGAGTGTTGGGCTGAAAGGAGCTAAAGTTGGTGGAATTGCTAGTCCATGTTTGGTAGCAATTCAGCCCACTGAAAACCAACTGTGAAAGGATCAGTTGGAAGATAAAGGCAAAAGGAAAGATAAAAGGAAATCTAGGAAAATCTATCAGATGCAGTTGGGAGGCTTCGCTGGTTTTGTTCGGAATTATGGTCCGAAGGGTGCATCAACTAGCAAGAGAGGACTCAGGAGTATAGTTTTCAGACCAGCGACTGTTGTAATTTCTGCTTCCAGGGAATCTGGTAGCAGCTCAGAGGCTTGTGCTCTAGCTCGTAAGGAAGCTCTAGCTACTATTCAAATGGGTTATGCTTTGGGGATCAAGTTTAATGGGAAAGAAGATGAGGTTGTGAAGATGGTTACAGAGATGGAGTTGAAGGACAAAGGAAGGATTCGCGGTGGGGTAGGGACTGCGGCATAAGTAGTTCCGATGGGTGAGGTGCAGTGTAGAATTTTTGTGGGTGTGTTTCGGAGTTTGGATTGGAAAAGAATAATTGTTCCGACCATGGCAGTGGGTTTTGATCGTCCTTGGGTGTGTCGGTTGCAATGGGTGTTCGGAGCTTAAATCGGAAAAGAAGTGTTCTAACCTTGGAAGTGGAGATGGGTGTTTAACGGTCATCGGTGTTTATCGGTCTTGGTAGGTGCGGCCGGCAGTGAGATAGGCGTGAGAGTCTCTACTCAGTGGATGTGTTTTTACTTGTGGAGTGTGTTTTACTTGGGTTGTGTGGGGTAATTTTGTGGGGTTTCATGTGTTTTGTTGAGTTAAGTTCTTCTTAACCTTTGTTTTTATTTTCTTGTTTAAAAAAAATCGTGAGGCCGAGGAGTTGGTTGTATGGGTGCAAGTAGCAGTAGTAGGGATAGTTTGTACTTTCCAAATCTCTCTCGATGCACATCATCTTTCTGTACTTTTAATTTCATGCTGTTAATGAAATTTTTCTTTGCTGATAAAAAAAAAACTACTTATTTGAAATATCATCTAAACTTAGGGTTTCTTTGGAGTGAACTACAACCCCTTAGTTAATGAGCATTGAATAATTTCAATACATGTAGACAGTACAGGGACAAAGAGGTAACTCACAGACACATTTAGGCTTCGTTTAGGAACGAGGGTTGGGTTGAATTTGGGACTATTTTAGTCACAAAAAGATAAAATAGATTTCTTAGTTTAATAAGACAAAACATCACATCTAACTCATAATCATTATATTTTTTCTATTACAAAAAGTCTAAAGACCCAAAAATTCATTTCCAAATGAGACTTTTTAGCCCCAAATTAAAATAATTAAAAAGTCAAAAAGTTAATCCACTTCTCAAACGAACCCTTAGGCTAGGTTTGGCATCCTTAAAAAAGACAAAAAGTCACTATTCTATTTAAATCACATCATCTTATTTAAATCACATCACTTCTCTATCATATCACTTTAAATTCAACCCATATTTCATAAAAAATCAAAAAATACATTTATTTAAAAGATCGTAAACAACACTTTAATATTAGCTCTGATAAGACAACCTGCCTCTTTGTTAAGCCTTCTAATCCAACGGTTCTAACATCTCCCCATCCACATCAACGGCACAGAATGCACCGCACACAGTAATCGAACTCTATACACTAACCGGATGCTTATGAAATTTTAACAAATATAATAATATAAAAATAATGATAAAAAAGTACGCATATATAATATATGTGGGTCAAGTCGTAAATGTCTTGTTTTGTCAAATTCGTAATTTTAAATTTCAAGTCCAGCTTATATATATATATATATTTGATAGATAATTTATATATATATATATATCAATTACAAAGATATTTTAAAAAAAATATAAATAAAAATATAAAACACAAATGTATGAATATCACCAACTGTCTTCACTTTATATATTTAGGGTTTGTTTGGAATGTGAGTTTATTTTTTTGACTTTTTAACTATTTTAATCTGAGGCAAAAAAGTCTCTTTTAAGATAGATTTTTTGACTTTTGTGGAAAAAAAATGAAATGATTATGGTTTAAATGTAATATTTTTATCTTATTGAGCTAAAAAAAATCTATTTTGTCTTTTTGTAGCTAAAATAGTAAAAAAACAAAAAGTCTGACATGCCAAACGAAGGCTAAAATAGATATGTGTATATCAACAACAAAATGATAATTTCTTTTTGGAGAAATTATAAAAAATAAAAAAAAATCAGAGTTTTAACAAAATAAATTTTGAATTTTATCAATTTAAAATCTAATTATTTGATTTGTTTTAAACCTAAATTATTTTTCTATTTTTGTTAAATAAAAAAGAAAAAAAATATTATTTTGGTCATTAAACTTAAAGTAACTATACTTAAAATATTTAAAATATTTATTTTTATTGAGTTTAAAAATTAAACTATTAATTTTTTCGTCGATTTAACTTAACAAAAATAAATGAATGATTCAAATTAAAAATATATGAAAATTTTAATATTTAAATTTATAAAATTAAAAATTAATGATTTACTTTATGATAAAGATCAAAATGTGAATTTTTTTTATTTATAATTTCTCCTTTTTTTTTCCTTCTCTTTCCTGTTTTCATTTTCAAAAACCTCTCTCTCTCTCTCTCTCTCCTTGTGTGTGTGTGAACGCATATATATGACAGTCATTGTATTCCTGAGTTTCCGTCTTCTCTTTGGGATCGTGAAACAGAAGATCGGATCGAGCGCTCTCTCTCTCTCTCTCTCTGGCACTCGAACCCTAGACCCTCGGCTCTCTTCGTTCCGTGGAATCCCACACCATTTTCGACGCCAAACTTACGACGATTTGTTTTCTCGCCGGTTTCACCGTTATTGTCTCTCGCAGATTGTATAGCTTCTTTTTGAGAATTAGAGAGAGAACAAGAAGATATTAGTACTAATCAAAAGGTATTTTCTTCGTTTTCTTTCATTTCCGAGTACATCTCTCGCTTTTTTTTTTGGTAGGTGCGGCCGGCAGTGAGATAGGCGTGAGAGTCTCTACTCAGTGGATGTGTTTTTACTTGTGGAGTGTGTTTTACTTGGGTTGTGTGGTTTTGGTGATTTGATGTGTTTTCTTTCTCGAAAGTTATTTTGATGGAAAACGGATCTAGAAAAATGGGTGAGTTTCTTGCATTTCAAGTTGATGACGTTGAGAGTTTGAGAGAGAGAGAGAGAGGGGGATATAGAGATGACTCGTCCTTCTTCCTGATTCCCGCATTAGGCTTTGGCATTGCATTGATTGAAGCCTCGATCATCATCGCTTTTACATTTATTGGTAATTATTTCCAGAATATCTTAAATAAATATATATATATATTATTTTCGACTCATTTTTGTTAGCATTTGTTTTCCTTTCTTCATATAATCCGATATTTTGATTATATTAATTGTCTTTGCTAAAATCGGTGAACAAAACTTCAATAAATGCTATATATTTCATATATAGAATGTGTGATCTTCTTTTAATTTTGAAGAGTTGATTTGTTTTTAAGTTACGTTTATATTTACAGTTTTCTAAGCGATGTCATCATCAAACTCTCCGTGTGCGGCGTGCAAGTTTCTCCGGCGAAAATGCACACAAGAGTGCGTTTTCGCACCCTATTTCCCACCAGACCAGCCTCAAAAATTCGCCAATGTTCACAAAGTCTTCGGCGCAAGCAACGTCGCAAAAATCCTCAACGAACTCAACGCGGCCCAGCGCGAAGACGCCGTGAATTCCCTCGCGTATGAAGCAGATGCAAGGCTCCGAGACCCAGTTTACGGTTGCGTAGGCCTCATATCAATCCTCCAACACAGACTCAAACAAGTCCAAATCGACCTCTACCACGCTAAAAAAGAATTAGCCACATACATTGGGCCCTCGGCAATGCTACCAATTCTCCAACACCCCGGTTTTATGCAAAACAATCCGGCCTCATCTTCAATGATACCTTACAACATGAATTCCATGTCGATGTTGGGTTTACCCGCGTCGCACAACGCTCAATTGGTGATTCGGGACGCTCAACCCCACCACCAACACCACCAGCAAATGATCGAGGCTCAGCAATTGGCGGCCGCGGTGGCTGCCAGAGAGCAACAAGAGATGTTGCGGAATTACGAGCAGCAACAACAACAGCAACAGGAGCTGGTGAGGTTCAACAGTGGGTTTGACCCGGGACCGGTTGGTGGTGGCGGTGGCGGTGGCGGTGCAAGTGGGTTTAATCAGATGACTAGTACTGGTGCTATGTCACCGTCTTTGGCTTTGGGTTCTTTTGATAATCCTTATCAGATTCAACAACAGCCGCAAGATCACACTCATCACCATCATCACCACCACCAGCTTCAGCTTGAGCCACAGCTTTTGCTTCATCAACAACAGCCACAACAACCGCAGACACCGCAGCAGCAACAGAGATCGGGAAGCGAGGAGGGTCGGAGCGTTGGTCCGTCTTGCTGAAGTTTTTTCAAGCTCACTTTCCCTCTTTAGCTTATTCTTTCAACAATTTTTCTTTCCAGGTAACCCCCATCTATCTCCTATATATCTCTTTCATTCCATTTTCATGCTCATGAAAATTGTAGAAATACTAGACTTCTATGTTTATGTGTGAATTTGGTTTTAAGTGTTACATGAGGTTGGAAGTTCACTCAAAATTTTTCTTTGATTTGCATAATATAGAAGTCAAAACCCAAAATTATTGTTTATCTCATTCAGTGATTGGCACCCATAAATTTTTTCCCCCTAAATTTATTAATCCTATGTTCTATATGTTTTTGTTTTTGAATTGATTTGATGGATGTTCATATATATATATATATATGATGTTGGGAGATCTCCAATATATATTCTAGTTAATTGAAATTTAAAAAAAAAATAAAAACTATTTTTGATAATATCAACACAATAGGAGTGTTTGGTGCTGATTAAATATGCTATTTGTAAGTTATTCTAATTTGGGGATCTGTGTCATATTATTTGATGTAATTTTTGTTTAATTACAATTTATCAAACAGAAATAACTTAAATAAATTGAAAATAAAAAATTATTTATAAGTTAGAAGAGAACTTTTTAATTTATGTTTTCTGATTATCAATTTTTAACTTTCAATAATCTATCAAACAAGCTCAATGTAGTTTTTTACATGTGAAAATAGTGAAAGAGAGAATGGGTTGACGTTTGTATTGTACAAACCAGCAGACAAAAGATGGGCTGTTGAGGAGTTACTACATAGGAGGGGCAGAATTGGAATTTGGTTGCGGTGAAGGATTCATCTGTATCTGGTTTTACTGAAACGTTCCCTCTCCTTCCATGGCCCGTCCTGATCATGAAGGAGGATAATTTGCCCTAGTTTTCAGTTTGAAGAGCATCAATTACTCATTCTAGAGGCCACTTTGTTGCCCTACCCAGTAAATGACAACAACTTCGATTTTCATTTAGGGAAGGGTATTGCTGTAGATAAATGAAATTTTTTTTTTTTTTTTGAGTTAACTACACCAAAATTTTCTTGAATATTACTTTACTCATCTAATTTCTGAATCCATATATGTTAACTCACTAAATTATAAAAATTATATAAATACATCTTATTTGTAAGTGATCTAGATGGAGTGAAAATGATACATTTTTATAGTTGAAGAATACACCTCATAGATGAGAAAACAAAGTAATCTTTGCTAATAATTAAAAGTCTTGGTGTAATTAATTAATCAATTTTTTTTTTTTTTTAACTACACAAACATAATGGGGTCTACTACAATAAATCAACACACATGGAAGTATTGCTTAACAGATGATGTGTCATAATTTTTAAAGTTTTAGATCTTATAGTTTGTATAATGAATGCGGTACATAGTTTTGAAATGGCAATGTCATAGTTTATGTTGGTACACTAATTAATATATCAATTGGTGTATGTAGTACCATTTTTTCTTTTAGATAAATTTTATGACATTAACACTCTCATTAATAATTTTATTAATACATTCACAAATTTTATGTGGGTTGCACATTATATGACAAATAGATTTTTCAAGTTAAAAATTAATAATCATAAAATAGAACTTAAAAATATTATTTTTTTAACTTTTGGATAATCAACTTACTTAAGTTATTTCTATATAATAAATTATAAATAAAGACTGTACTAAATAGTCTGACAAATTCAAATTAAAATAAGTTTTCCAAACATCCCAATAAGATTGTTGATAAGAGTGTAAGAGTGTGTTTCTAGCATTGTTTTAAGAGGTTTTTTTTTTTAATAGAAATTTCTAATAAATTACAAATTAAATTATCATGGTTTGAGCCCACACGGCATTACGTAGAAAAAATAATGCTCAAATACATTCATGTGTATTGGGAGGAAAAAGATTGGATACATACCTAACTTTTGGTATAATATATAAAGTGATTATCCTGAAACTTGAATCCATAATTTCAAGATTATTAGGCTAATGTTTTACTATTGAATCAATGGTCACCCCTTAATGATCTGTAGCATTTTTGGTGTTTCAGACATAAACATGGTTTAATAATTAGTTAGGTGGCTTTTGAAGAACAAATGCATGTTCTAGGGGGATGAAATGAAAGAAAGCTCTTCCTGACCTTTGAGGCTTTGACCTCTCTCTCTCTCTCTCTCTCTCTCTCTCTCTCAACTATTTTCTTTCGATAAAAAGTTTACGAAGAAATTGAATTTGGTAACCAAAAAGTTAAATCAAAACTATACTCACTTGTCATTTTGCTTTATAAGGTATATACACACATAATTCAATTAGTTTACATACATGAACTTTACTAGTTGTTTCAGCTATCATCCTTTGTTTATGAATCTTCTTATTCCAAAAAACTATAAGATGGATTTGTTAGGAGTGGTGTCTAACTTATAAACTCTATAAAATATTGTTCATTTATATATATAATGTGTTTAGTTTATGTATTCATAGCAGAATTGTTTCTATTTATTTATTTATTTTGCACGGAACATTAATGTTAACAAGTCTTCTCCTTTTGGTTTTTTGGGTTCAGCTCATTTCTGCAGTATTCAAGCGTACAAAGACAAAGGAGAGACAGAGAGAGAGAGGTTCACATCTTAGGGGTAAAGTTATTCTAGGTAGAAAAATGATTTGCAAACAAAAAATTTATACAGAAAACACATTCAGAATGATGTTTAATAACATTCTTTGAAATTACGAAGACAATGACAATGATAGATGTTGTGATCGGAAATGAAGGGGTTATGAGAAATCACATCATTCTGTATGAAAATTCTGTACAAAAATTGTTTGTATATCATTGCTCGGATAGAGTAACAATTTTTTATTTTAAATTTTTTTTATTAGTTTTATTTTATGGAGTTGAAGAAGACTATTTTTATCGGGAGCTACATTTTAAATTGTAGGGAGATGCATCGATTTCAACTATAGTGTTCTCTTTTTGTTTACATTTAGAACGCTTCTTCATGTCGGCAGCATAATATTTTTTGCACCCTCTTTTATCTCATTTTTAAAGACATCCAGTTTTTTTTAATGTAAATAAGTATTATGAATGCTCTTTTTTCCTTCTTCTTATATTGTTATTATTATTATTGGAGTAAATTACAAATTTTATATAATTATATTGTGTCTGCTTAAAGTTTTAATTACAAAACACAACCCTTTTGCATCAGCTATTTGTTAGTCGTTTAGATAAAAAAAAATAATACTTTTTTTACACAAAATGTATATATTCACCTTTTGAAAAATCTAAATTTTTTGAGATATTAATTTGTGAATATGTATTAATTTTAACAAAAAAATAACAATCTCAATCAAATAATCAGAGACACATCAACACAACGATTTTACGTGGAAAAATCGCAATTTGAGCACCTCTATTTGTGATAAAAAAAATCACGGATAAAAGCCACAAAACAATCCACTAAAGAAGACACAAAGAAATTATATAAGCGTACTCTCAATTACCTAGCGAATTCACACCCCGAATCGAACCGACCCCTATGTGCCTCTTCTAGCCCTATCTTCACCTCGAAATTGTCTTGCCCAACGTTGAATCCACAACGTCAATGTCGAATCCACGGCGATAAGCCACTCCGGAACCCACCGAAAAACAACTCTCTCTTTTGTAAATAAAACAAATTAAACAAACCCTTTGATATAATCCACTCAATTCATGATTAAACTCTCACAGATATCAAAAGAAACAAGCCCTAATACCCAATAAGAAGATCTAGAAGTCATACCCTAAAAACTAAATAAATCGCAGATTTATAGAAAACAGAATCGCGATCTCCACTCGAGCGTAGGTATGGCCGCTCGAGCGGACTGACTAAAACGTGTGTTTTAGAACAAGGGTCTACGCTCGAGCGTAGAAAAGGCCACTTGAGCGGAAAAATATAACTCCCAGTACTTTTGTAAGCGAGTAAAACTTCTGAAAGGATTGCATCTCCGCTCGAGCGCACAATCGGCCGCTCGAGCGGGTAAACAATTTTGACTGCAATTTTACTTTGTGCTTCACGGGCGCTACCCCCTCAACCGCGCCCGAGCGCTACCTTAGACCCACCAATGGGCGCTACCTCCTAGACCCCCATGAGCTAATCAGGCAGCTCGATCCCAAACATAGTCAGCGAAATGATAAACATGATGGATTAAGATCACAAACTCTTCTGCATAAATATAATTCAGGTTGGATTCGTATCTAAATACTCATAGCCTCGCTGAAATAAAGATCGAATAAAATTACAACTGAAAGAAGTTTTGTCAAACGAGATTGCCAATAACAAAAACCTAACACCTTTAATTATCTTGTGTTTACATGCCAATTCTGTTTGTGTTAGCCTTACAAAAGGTTCGTACAATTATGTTAAACTCATTGAATTATTGTACTTTTCTTTTAAACTGCTGGGATGGTCTCCATTATATTATTACAAGTTGTTCCTGATGGTGTATATACAAGTAGTGAATAAACCAAAATGACAAGTGATTATCATAATAATTGGTTTGTTTGTTACTTGTGGTCTGATCTTTTGTTCTTGCTTTTGTTTTTTCTGTAAATTAGTTGGGAAGGGAATAGAAAAGGAGGCTGAGACTCGAATCTAAACATTATAAGTATGTTCTTAAAGAAGTATCTCATCTATTAAGTTAACTCTTATGTTGTGTTTTGATCATAGATTTGAAAGGAGTGTATTGAAAGTCAGATACAATAAATAAATAAAAGCACTCTAAATTGATGTGCTGAGAAAGAAAAATAATCAATAAAATATAGTCATGCTTATGATATTATAAAAATAATGGTGACTTTAATCCCTACCTATGAAAATCTTAGGTTTGGTTTGATTGGCTTTATGTGTACGCTTGCTAGCATAAGTATTATTATTTATACTAATTACTACTTACTTAGTCTTGTTTCCCCATACTTAGTCTTGTTTCCCCAACAAAAAATAATTAGGAAAACATATACCATTCATGAATGTTTTACACTACATATAAATCCAGCACAAATATATATATATATATATATATATTTAAATAATGCAACTGTGATGTTTTTAAAAGACAATGATAATGTTTTTGTTTAGAAAAACTATTTTTTCTAAAAAAATACACACACAATAGTGATCAATTTGTATTTAAATTTTGTACAAGAGTAAATATAATTTTTATGCAGATTTTCATATAAAGTGATTTTATCGTTTTGAAGCGAAAGACCAATCACTTGAGTTTATAATTATATATATAATCATTGATGTAGCATTCTAAATAAATTTTTTATTTAAATAATTTGTTGATATAATTTTTATCTTATTCTATAAATATTGATAGTCATCTTGTCTTAGCATTGGCCCAATTAGACTTGAGGCTTATTTAGTGTAACTTATTGTTAGCTCAAAATTGATAAAAATAAATAAATAATTTAAAAGTATTCTTTCCGAATTTGCTAGCAATTATTCTTTTCTCTACCTAAATTATTTAAGTTATTTTGGCACAAATTACATTATAAAAAAACACCCTAAGTATTTGGTTAGGGTTGACCATGATTTTATAAAATCTCCTCAGAATCATTTTGACAAGATCCATCTTTTTGGCTTATTGTATTTTTTTTAATATTATTTATTTTGTCAGAGCAGCTTGCCTTTAATCTTTAATCGGATTGGATGGTGTTATTCGGTCTGTGAGGGTCCATCACGAGTCCCGTTTTGATAATCTGAAGCGTTCAATGTGTAGAACTTGTCGAGTACTATGTATCTGTAAAAAATCACGTTGATCGGATGTCGATAGCTATCTCATCTTAGCAATTTTTTGTCAATCATAAATTTGTTCACCGTCTATTTTTTTATACAAAATTGATTTGATCACATAGCTATTGATATCCGATCAACGTGATTTTTTTATAAACATATAATAATCGATGATTTCTACATATTGAACGGTTTATATTATCAAAACGAGACCCTTAATAAGCCTTTACAGGCCGAACAATACCATCCCATCCGTTTAAGGATAAGAGACAAGTTGCTCAATTATTATATTTTGGAATTATTATATCCAATGATGATGAGACCCATAGTTTCTAAGATTTCGTGAAATGGCTTTGATGACCATGTGCATAAATAACTATAATAATATGTATTTGACATTTAATTTAAGCTTTTATATATATATATATAATGTATGTACAATACTTAGAAAACTGAAATGATTTGTCACTTGCACGTGACCTTTCCTAGGTGGGAATGTTACACAGCTGATTGACAGCATTTTGTCCCTTTTTTTTTTTTTTTTTTTCAAAGACAAGTAAATATATATAGGGGTGAGTGTAAATGCGATATTCCTATAATATTCGAATTAAAATTTTAAATAGTTTAATAATTGAGAAAAAGTTGTTAGTAATTTTGAATTATCTAATGGCCAAAGAAAAATAATTCTAACCATTATTAAGGGGTTGTTTGGGGTGTCAATGTACTTTTTGTCTTTTTGGACTAAAAAATTAAAAAAAAAATATGCATGTTTGGGTTAACTTTTTGACTTTTTATGAAAAAATGTGTATTAAAAAATTGTATAAATTAGTGTGTAAGAGAAAATTAGAATTGAGAGTTGTGCAGCCGTAATTTTTGACTTTTGGTGAATAGTGATAACTTTTTAATTTTTTAAGTAACTTTTTGACTTTTTAATTTTTTTTCAACTTACTAAACTTGACCTAAATGTAATTGTTATTAGGTGAGAATCGATGAAAAAGATACTTTTAAAAAGGTTAAAAGCATAATAACACTAATACTACTCAAGTACGCTATAATTGAATGGATATCGATAATGTTGGTTATCAAAAAATAAAAATAAAAATGTTAATAATTTAAAGTGTATGAATCAAATTCATTTTAAGTGGTGTGATTCTCAAATTATATTTATTGAATTATTAATTATCAACACCCAGAAAGGTGGAGGAAAAACAATCCCCGAATACTTAGAAAACTGAAATGATTTGTCACTTGCACGTGACCTTTCCTAGGTGGGAATGTTACACAGCTGATTGACAGCATTTTGTCCCTTTTTTTTTTTTTTTTTTTCAAAGACAAGTAAATATATATAGGGGTGAGTGTAAATGCGATATTCCTATAATATTCGAATTAAAATTTTAAATAGTTTAATAATTGAGAAAAAGTTGTTAGTAATTTTGAATTATCTAATGGCGAAAGAAAAATAATTCTAACCATTATTAAGGGGTTGTTTGGGGTGTCAATGTATTTTTTGTCTTTTTGGACTAAAAAATTAAAAAAAAAAATATGCATGTTTGGGTTAACTTTTTGACTTTTTATGAAAAAATGTGTATTAAAAAATTGTATAAATTAGTGTGTAGGAAAAAATTAGAATTGAGAGTTGTGCAGCCATAATTTTTGACTTTTGGTGAATAGTGATAACTTTTTAACTTTCTAAGTAACTTTTTGACTTTTTAACTTTTTTTCAACTTACTAAACTTGACCTAAATATAATTGTTATTAGGTGAGAATCGATGAAAAAGATACTTTT